TATGTCCTTTGGTTTGAGGACCTTTTCTCATCTGATCCCTTGGTTTCGGGGTCTCTTCTCATTTGATTATTATTAACTTTGATATTTTTTTCTGCTATTGACCTGATGTCTACTTAATTTAACGGTAAGTCCCAAATTTGTTTTCATTCTGAACTCAATAAGTACTTTTCAGTCTAAACCTGCAGGATGGTAAGCCGTCCCTTTGGTTTGAAACAATCTTCAACTGCTAATCGTTGTGACATCAACGCGCTTTGACAAAAGTGACTTTGTTCGAAGTGTTGAAATGGTTGGTCAAACCGCAGCCGGTTTTAACCTAAGTTGACCTATGTATTCAACTTTCCCTAAGAAGATCAGACTAGCCGGCGTCTTTGCACTCTTACTCCAGTATTCATTGGTCCTTTGGTTTGAGGACCTTTTCTCATCTGATCTCTTGGTTTCGGGGTCTATTCTCATTTGATTATTATTAACATTAATATATTTTCTTGCTGCTGACCTGATGTCTGTTCAACCCAACGGTAAGTCCCCCTTCATTTTGAACGTAATAAATGCTTTTCAGTCTGAACCTAGACGAAGGTTAGCGGACCCTTCAGTTCCAAACAACTGTCATTGTTCATTAGTCGATCTGACTTCCAAAAGACAAAGAAATTTATTGACTACTTCGACTTCGCGTTGAAAAAAAACTCATTAGAACCAGTTTGGAGCAATATTGTGGAACTTTCATATTTGCAAAAACTAGTCTAAGTTCTGAAAAATAACCAACTTATTTCTTTAAAACGTAATGAAACTATTTATTTCCATGTTTGTTTCTTCTCTACGGCTATTCTGTTGATCGGTCCTAATTGAACACAACGATCAGTCTGTTTTTTACATTTTTTTTCAAGTTACAATTACAGCCTGTTGATTTTTTTGCTTTGCCAGCTTTTCCAGGCCTGAAAACTTTTCACAACAAAGAATATTATGCCTTTTTTTTGTTTGAAGAATTCGGTACACTTTCGAAAGTGTCATAGTAAAAAAACAAACTTTGATATTCGCATCAAATATTTTGTTCCATTCCTCAACTATTTTTCGAGCAAAAAGTTTTTCTCCTGGCCACGTTGTCCAAATACCAGTACTCTGATTTGCCATGCTTATTCGAAAACCATCTGAAAATCAATGATCGCTCAGAAGGAAGAGATTGTGGAATGTAGTAGTGTGCCTTCAAGAATCATAACCATCAGATATTCCCTGTTTTTGCATTTGTCCGTTTTTATTGCCATTGTGTACATTTTGTGTGCGCAGTGTACCAGGTACACCGATTACGCCCAAAAAGATGGCTTGGCGTGTTTATTTGTTTACAGACACGGACGTCACGTGCAGAGAAATCGTCGTCTGCGTCTCATAACGGAAAAAATTTTAGGCCGCTGCCATGTGGGTTTACAGAAGTTAATATAACAAAAATTTATGACTTTGTTCAAAAATACAAAAAATTTGCAGCAAGAAAGACAAAATTGTGAAAGAGAAAATTATAAAAATGAAAAACCAATTTAAAAACAACTCGCTAGTGGACACCTGACGAGCACATGACAGAGCTGCCAACAATCTGACGATCTCATCATTTTTTGTGAAGACCTTTTGGTTCACGATGGTGTGAACTGCAATGAACTGTGCGGTTCCCTTCAATGGGCAATGAGACACGAACGACATCTCATTGCCCGCCTTTTTCACAACCACAGTGTCCACGGCCAGAAGTGGGGAGGCAGTTTTGATGGCTCCTGAAACTTGAGAATTTGAATTTTTGAAGTCGTCATTCAGTTTCATTGCTCACCTTGTTAATTTCTCTTGTACAATCGATTGACGTGACTTTTTGTGATGACCAGCAGAGCAATCGATGGCTGAGTGAGCACAATGTTCATCTTCTTGTCCTTGAAGAACTTGTTCTTCTCATTCACAAACTCCGTCATTCACAAATTCCGTTCATAATGCTCAGAGCAGTATATTTTGGTTGCCTGCAAAATTATCAGAAAATGATCAGCTGAAGAATCTTGAGCAATGCAAAAAACAATCTTTGCAAATGATTCTCACTCACCTTTTTTTCAATTTTCAAGATTTAAAAATAATCAGTTTTTGTCGACCCAAAACACAAGGGTGACTTGTTTCTCCCAAAGGGAAAAAGCGTAGAATGAAGCAAACAGTATCGAAAGCAGCCAGGGGAGAAAGGTAGAGAGACGTCGACTTTGCCGAGTGAGTGTACAAAGAGTAGATGCACAGACATAGAGAAAGTGAATGATTCGTGGCACGGAATGACTGAAAGAGAACAAAGCAGAGAAATCGGAAGAGATACAGAAATGCTGACTCGTCTCCAACAAAACATAGCATTCAGCTCAATATAAAAATAGATCAGTAAATGGAGACCTCGCGGACTGTCTTCATAAATAGGAAAGATAAAATAAATAAAAGAAAAATAGCCGTACGTTACTATTAGATGCTTCACTCTTTTTGTTCACCATTTCATTGAGTTGCTCCATTCTTCATTCTTTTTATCACTCTTTTGGCGCGCAAGGAGAACGTCTTCTGTCGCTTCCCAGCGCGGATCCCAACAAATTTTTCATGCTATTCCAATCCTTTTCCCTAAAACCTGATGGTTTCGACTCGCTTTTTGGAGAAACAACCGGAAGAAGGTCCATAACTTGAAAACTGTTGTTTCAAATCAAGAGTGTTCAACTACAAAGTTGTTTAAAATTTGATTTGCCACAGTTCGTCAGTACTTGACTTTTTTCAAAAATCATTGGTTCTCGAGTTATACGCTTTTGAAGTGTACTACAGTTTAAAATGTTCACTGGTAAAGTACACCTACTTTGAAAGCTTCTAACTCAAAAACGATTGATTTACGATGAAAGTCAAGTATTGAAGAGTTGTTGCAAATTGCATTTTGAACAACTTTGTAGTTAATCATTTTTGATTTGGAACAACAGGTTTCAAGTTATGGACCTAAAAATTGAGAACAAAAATTTTTGGTCACTTGCCGTTATTTTATTTCTTTGAAGGCTTTTTCTACTTTTATTCGGTTAGTCGTTTGTGTGATATCATCATTTTCTCATAGTCACCCATATTATTTTGTGTCTTTCCGACACAAAAACCTTGATACTTTCTCCTTCACCCCTAGACTTTGCCCCTGTCGCTCTCAAATGACAAAGGGACAAGAAGAAACCCTTTGTCGGTCAAACCTGCTCTTTTAGATTCTCATCCTGATCCATTTATATTGTGCTCTGGTTTTTCCAGGAGGTCTTATGTCACCCCTCTGAACGGTCCTGCATTCTTGAGTCATTGACTCTCCTGGGTGAGTTATCATCCCTGTTTCTATGGTGATACGAGATTTTTGAGCTGAGAATAGCTGCAGAACCGGTGAAACTATGTTTGCACATAAACCCCACCGCTCCCTTAATTTTTTCACCCACATTTTTAATGGCTTCTTTGACATCTGCCTCAGGCTGGTCTTTTTTTCTCCATTTTTCATTGAAAACTAAGTGTTCTACCTCATTTCTCACAAACTTCCTCTCCATTCCCGTCTTTTTCCTCTAACTTTCTCACACTCCCACTTCCTTCAACTATTATTCAGATGCCCACCACAACTGACAAACTTCTTGCCAAAACCTACTCCCTGAAAAAGTTTATCCGCATGGAGCTCCGAAAGAAAGAATTAGGTTAGAGCGTAGGCAGACCAACAAATTCAAGGTCTCAGGTTCGAACCCCACTGGTGGCAAATCTTTTTTGCTTTTTTTCTTCTGGCAGTAAATGGTTCAATAAATGTTCTTATGTGTTTCTATGGCTCAGTGGGTCAAGTCATTGGCATTGACCTTTTTTAACCATGACCTTTTTTTTTAACCATGACCTTTTTTTTTAACCATGACCTTTTTCTTTAACCATGATCTTTCTTAACCATGACCTTTCTTAACCATGACCTTTTTAAACCATGACCTTTTTTAACCATGACCTTTTTTTAACCATGACCTTTTCTAACCATGGCCTTTTTTAACCATGACCTTTTTTAACCATGACCTTTTTTAACCATGACCTTTTTTAACCATGACCTTTTTTTAACCATGACCTTCCTTCTTAAACCATGACCTTTTTTTAACCATGACCTTTTTGTAACCATGACCTTTTTTGTAACA